TCGTTCCCTACTCAGGGAACCATGGTTACATAAGTAACCCGAGACGTTTTCGGTCAGTAAGATTTTTTCCATGTTTTTGAAAAAAGTATTTTATGCATTATTTGGTCAAAAATACATACAGTATATATATATATATATATATATATATATATATACTTTTTATACATTTATATATATATATAAATATTACATAACATATTGCAGTTATACAATATTTATATAACATATAAAAATTTTAATTGCATTGTAATTGCGGGATTAAATCCTAAAATACAACCTTGAGGTGAGAATTTCATGAGAGTAACACGACAAACTCTGTAATACCATTTAATCGGAAAATATTTTCAAAATGAGACACTTTTGATATTGATTTTACAACGCAGTGTGATAAAGCAGGTTGATGACAAAATGCAGTTGGGCTTAAAAGCTGCAGTTGTGCTCATAAGTTTACATACCCCTTGCAGAATAAGCAAAATGTTAATAATTTTTACAAAATAAGAGGGATCATGAAAATTGCATATTATTTTTTATTTAGTACTGTCCTGAATAAGCTTATTTTTTAGTAGTACTGTCTTAAAAAGTGAACACATTTACTGATGCTCAGTAAAGTGAGTCCCTCAATTAATCTCTAAATCAAAGTCCCTGTTGGAAAGTGGTCAATATGCAGAAGATGCTGCAAAACCTGAGAATGTGCAGGAGCTGGAGGATTTTTTCTGAAGAACAGCAGGCAGTTACATTTTTCAGTTATGGAACTTGACAGTCATGGATCATCCAGGAAATGACACACACACAGTATTAAGATTCAAGGGAATGTAAACTTTTGAACGGGATCATTTTTATAAATTCAGTTATTATTTATAACTGAATAAAAAATAACATGCCATTTTCATGATCCCTCTTATTTTGTTAAAATTATTAACATTTTGCATATTCTGAAAGGGGTTTGTAATCTTATGAGCACAACTGTATATTTAACTGATTAAAAACCTCCTGCTGTAAAACATTTACTCTTTGCTCTCTTCCTAATATATTGCATCGGGTTATTCATATCTAATAACCTCTCTGTAATGAACATATAGAGGGTCAAATGCTGCTATTGATAACAGAAGCTAACAAATCCTTTTCTACAATATAAAGTTAACTGACTAATGACTATTCCCGAGTCTCAGAGATCCTGCTGGCTTGGCTGTATTTGGAAGTTCATCGATTTACATTTGCATGCTCATTCAACATTGAAAAAGTTGATATCTGCCACTTAGGGATGACTGCTGATGTCATCAAGGATGGCATTAGTGAGACTGATTATGTATCATTAGTGTACGAACAGGTGGAGCAAACATTGTTTTCTAAAATTATGAGCACGGAGGCTGCACTTTGTTTGTGGCTTCAGGAACTTACTTTGATATAGGAACAAGCCGACTGAGCCAAGTGAATGGGAGCTTATGTAAATGTAACCTTGAATTTTGGCTGATGAGATGTGTTTGGCCCTAAAACCTGCAGTGTAATGAGGTTCTGCTGGAATAATAGCTCTGTTTTTCCAGGGGCCGATTCCTCTTTTCTTGCACGAGCGTTGATGAATGACTCTGAGGGGAAAAAAACTCACTCAGAGAGGGGGGCTATTACACTCACCCTGAAATGTATTTCCTGCAACATTGTAACAATGAATGAGCAAATGAACATTTCGGTGCATGCCGCCTGATCAGACTGTCATGCAATTTGGCAAAACAATGACTGTAATGAGAAAAGTTTTGAGAGAAATTTAGTTATGCTTAAAAATTCCTTATTATCTAAATTTGTTTTAATGAAAAATAAGTGAAGTGCATATTTTTCCAAGTTAAACCTTAAACCTTACTGAGTTTAGTTTGATTGTGTATATACATATATATACAGCTAAACTAAATATATGTATAATTTGTTGTTAGACACTTTTTACATCCATCTATATGGTGTAGTGACACTAAAGTGATGTGAAATTTGATTTTGATTTGACACTTGGTGATTTATATGACTGATGCATTAGGCAATGCGAAGAATTTATTATTTAAAAAATGAGCACAGAGCATCCATAGTTCTCATTATTCAAACTGTCAGTCATTCTTCTGTTGATCTCTGTAAACCAGCACATTTAAATTATGAAGTGGATTAGAGAAAGAATGACAACACAAATGGATTCTAAGACCCTTATTATACTTTCCCTTAATTACAAGGGCTCTTATTCTTCAGCCATAATTCAAGTACCCACACTCACACACACACACACACACCTGCTACAGGTAGTGCAGATATCATGTGATGCATCTGAACGCTTCTCAAGATTATTCACCTTGCCATATAAATATTTAAACCTGTCCAAGATATCATAGTATGAACTCCCTGTGGCAGATATTAGGGGCTATTTTTGCTCCAGTCATGATATTTTATTCATAGGCAGTAGTTATTCATTTTGTAGCTCATATTACCAGGAGCTGGACATAATTTGTTAACCATACAATACAATGAGGGACAGAATGAAAACCTCTGTTCAGATTCGCTCCCTGCATTAGCAACAACTCCCGTGTCTGTCTAGTAGCTTTTTTATAGACTCAACATGCTGACTGAAATGACCACGCTGTGTAAATTAACAAAAGAACATCCACCGACTCTATCCTTTGCTTTATTACTGCATATGCCAAATCATATGTTTTGTTACAGAAACATAATGTTTCTGTAGTTTGTTTCAACAACTCCTCAATTGTCCTCAGTGTGAGAAGATGGATCTCAAAATAATACAGTCACTGTTGGAAAGGGGTCAATATACCAAAGATACTGGAAAACTTGAGAATGTGCAGGAGCTGGAGGATTTTTCTGAAGAACAGCAGGCAGTTAAGCTGTTTATTAAGAAAGAAAGAAAGAAAGAAAGAAAGAACTCTTCCTTCAGTTCAGCTCTGATATGCTTCCATGAATCCAGTACCTGTGCTCACTGGGAAATTGGGAATGTCCTCATAGCGGAAGGTCTGTTTATTTGAGACACTATCTGCGAGAAGTCCCAGTCCAGAGCCGCACACTATAGCTATCTTTGGCCTGTGTCTCGTCCTGCTCAGCAGCCATTCTGTAGTCAGTTTGCAGTCATCAAAGGAACAGCAGCTGAGTCAGGAGAAAGAAAGAATGATGGCCAGATGCATTAGAACAGGTCACATTGATAACTGCTCAAATTGTGCCAGATAAGATGCTAAGTGGAAAAACACAAGCTTCTGATTATTAGTCAATGCTTACAGTGAGAAACATGATGATCTTTCAAATTGCAAATTCGGCATCATTTGAATAAACTCAAAGCATCAAGATAATTAATTAACAACTGGTTTAGTTTTATAGTTTTCATATTATATTTAATTTGTGCAATGCCAAACCTTTTGAAAACATTAAAGGTCCCATGTTGTCAAAACTGAAATTTCCTTGCTTTTTTCAGGATAACTGAGGTCTAGGGGCTATTTAACTACCATATAAGATTCAAAACAGTCAGTCCACAGTAAAATGCACACAGCCTGCATAAAGTAGCTGTGATTTTTCACGAACCGTTGTGACTTCCATAAAAAGTTGACTCAGAACTACACAGTCACCGCCTTCAGTCTCTACCCCGAGAACCGCCCACAGTCCCACTCTCCTTTTGCCAAACCCCCAGACAACATCACGTTCATGCTATTGCTGAGCAACAACAACACGGAAACATGTCGAAAAGGTTAACTTTAACCACGAAACCAGATCGGCCGACCTGTAACGTTACACTCTCACTCAAAGGATGGACGATCTGACAGGATTGTTACTCTGAGGTGGATCACATCTAACGTGTAAAGTAAAGACAAACTCACCGTGTCCATCTAGTCATGATGAGGATGTATATACATTTACATTTCAGCAGGAAACTATTTTTACAGCTACATTATTGTTCCAGCCACAATTAATCACAACAATGTACTGTATATACAATTACAAATGATTATATATAAATCATCAGTTTGTTGTTTTACACACATGCACACAGACATTATTTCATACACGACATAGTCGGGAGATACAAGAAACATAGACATATGGCAAGAAATCTGTAGACGCACCCATAACAACAAAAGACGATACTTTATTAAACCTTTTCTGATAAGAAGTGTGCGCTGCAAACGCAAGCATTTTTGACGATCATTTCTGTCCAGTCTGCTCATTTTATCGCGTTTAACCACAGCTGTCGTCGTTTTTTTTTCTCTGGCAGTGGCAGCAGATATGCGATCAAATTTCTAATTTGAGGCTGTATTACGTCGATTCTGGCACCCAACATCACAACAAGATGATATTTTAAAGGGGTCATATGATGCGATTTCAATTTTTTCTTTCTCTTTGGAGTGTTACAAGCTCTTGGTGCATAAAGAAGATCTGTAAAGTTGCAAAGACTAAAGTCTCAAATCCAAAGAGATATTCTTTATAAAATTTAAGAGTCAATGGCTAAAACGGCTCGTTCTATCACACCCCCACATGTCTACGTCACAATGTGGGAAGATTTGCATAACACTGCCCAAATGTTCGCGCAAAGAAAGAAGTCGTAACTTTTATTCTCGCTGTTGCCGCCGCGGCCATGTTGTGGAGACACTGTGTGTTTTGTTGTGAAAGCAAAACTACTTTGTTTGGTCTTCCAAAAGAGGACGATATCGCTTCGTCATGCCTGGAGCTGATCCGTGCTGGTTGCTGAGGAAATACATCAACTTTGTGCTGTGGATCGCCGGATCGGCTTTCACCGTGGACGAAGCGGAGTCCAGCCCGGGGTTCTGCTCACTCAAGACCGCGGTGTGTGACGCTGTTTCTTTGTGAAAGCGAGACTACTAGTTTTCAAAAAGTAGGAATATGTTCTCTGATCAGATATCAAAATTTTCCCTGACAATTTTCAAATGACAGCTGAAACTCATCTCTTTCGTCACTATCTGACTTCATCCTAAAAAACTAAAAAAACTAAAAACCTTTGCTTCTCTTTACATAATCCCAGTCTAGCTTGTACTTATTTGAACAATGCCTGAAACTTGGTATTACGAGCACTTCCTGTGTCTATTTACCTCTTTAAGATTAATTGTTTGATGTATTCCGCAAATTGTAAGTCGCTTTGGATAAAAGCATGTGCTAAATGAATAAATGTAAATGCAAATGTAAATATCAATACACAATACGGAAATACAGAACAGACCTTCACATTAATGTAAGAACAATCAAGTCTATTTTACTTTAACAACTCACAACAACTGCACTGTAAAAGACCACATCATTTGTATACCGTCTCAAGATTTTCGGAGACAGTTATGAAAATGTGTTCCGTATAAAGCACACAGGAAATTAACTAATATGAATGAAACCAGAGAAACCACCTCTTAATATTTGAAAATTGGCTTGTAGCAAACATCTGAAAGTATAAAGCTGCCATAATACTGGAAACAGGTAAAAGCCTAGAAGAAATGACAGTGAAAATGCAATCAGTGGACACATTCAGAGTTTCTGAATGGAGTCCAAAACACAAATGTACAGCATGCAATTGTCAAGGCTCTATTTAATTTGCATCTAATTTGAAGATAATTCTGCTCCATATTGTGTGTTTGGCAGGCCTGAAATATTTTTATTGACCTTACTGAATTGATTAAATGCATAAAAGATCATACTCTAAGATAACAGCTGTGAATCCAAATTACACTGCCTACTGACTCTTTAGCTCAATAAATAGTAAATAGTAATAATTCAACAATAATGCTTTTAATAATAATTGCTTTATACATTGTCTGGTATGTAAATTATATAAATTACATAAAACTAAACATTTTTAACATGAGTTTTCCTTGGTGTGCATGATTTCAGTCACAGGTAGTCACGGGCTGACAGTACCTGCAAAAAGTGTGTACTTGTCTTATCAGAACAGATAAGAGAGAGAAAGAGACCGAGCCCGAATAACCTCTCAAAGGACTACAAGGTCTCGTCTCATTGGCTGCATAAATGGTGAGAGCGGGAAATCTCCATATCCTTTCCAAGAAATTATATGACTCTGTCCCTTGAGAAACTTTAGCTCCAGACGCTAAAATAAATACAATTTACTCAAAATGCAGACAACCATGGGCTAGTGTACAGGCTGTAATGCACTACATTTTGTTTATGTTGTAGCCCTACTGGTAATGTGTGTAAAGAATATATATAAAATAATATACATCTTCTATGAAATAGAAAATATATTTTAAACAGTTTCTGTCCATACAATGAAATTCACTGGGGTCCTAAACAACATTGGTCTCCAATGACTTCTATACACATACACACACACACAAACTTTTCAAATTTTCAAAATAAATTTATATTTTAGGAAGAACTTTCTGACCCTTGAAAGATGCTAAAACAGCTAATAAATTTCTGCTAAATCAATATAATATAATTTTTCAATAACCATTTGTCAAACGTTGCTTTGTAGATGCTGTACAATGACCTTAGCTTGAAAAAATAATGAAAACATATGGTCTACCCACATCAGCCTGTAAGACTGTCAGAAGGGCCAGAGTGAAAACACTTTTACATGTTTGTGCACTTTGCTGAGCTGTGCGATTACTGAGTACATTATAGCTTAGAGCTTCAGGGTCCATTATAATTCTCCAAAGCCTTTATACTGTGGCTTGGAAATGGATTGGCAAACTCAGTATTATTGGAGAGGTGCGACTCGAAATCTAAATGCACTGATGCATTTACAACAGTGTCTGAGACATCATTTCTACACAGAGATATTGAGCTGATAACTTACTGTAATATGGAAAATAACCTAATCTGAACATTATATGAGAAGCCACAATTAAGCAAAATACCTAACTTGTTTTTCACAAAATTACTCAGTAGTGACTTTGTATTTACTGCTTTTGTTGAATGAAACAAGCTCAGTATCAGGGCTTTTTTGTGCCAGGGGTCCAAGGTAGTTCCTGTCAATGAGTAACATGCCCAGATGTTAAATTATGTAACAGTTATATGATGTCCACAGCACGCAAAGCATTGACTGACCAACAGGGACAGAAAAATTATTGCTCATTCATTGAGTTCCAATAGTTCAAAGATTATCCTGCTTTTTGTTAAGTACATATTTCCAACTGAAAATGAACATAGCTCATGATTGACCAAAAGGAAACTGAACAGATTTGTGTGAGAGTGCCATTCACATATATGCTAACTGTTAACCTAACTCTGTTAGCAAGGTCAACTCACTGTCAAGTGTAATGTTAGCACACGTTAATAGCTAAATGTAAATTTTTGTTTCCACAAAAATATTAAGTAGCACAACTGTTTTTAACCTAGATTATAATGAGAAGAAATGTTTCTTTAGCACCAAAGCAGCATATTAAAATGATTTCTGAAGCATTATGTGACACTGAAGACTGAAATAATTGCCATCAAAGGAAAAAATGACATTTTAAAATATATAAAAATACTATTAAAGCATATTTCTGCTACCGAATAAGAAAAAAGATAGTAACACCTTTTCATCTTACAATTATGACTTTTTTTCTCAGAATTGTGAGGCATACACTAACAATTATGAGTTTATAACTCACAATTGTGCTTAAAAAGGTCATAATTGTGAGATACAAATTTGAAAGGATTATAACATTGATATGAATACTGAGATAAAAGATAAAAAAAAAAATACAACTATCAATGTATTTCAAAATTGTTTTGTAAAATATATCATCAAATTTTTATATTAGTGCTACCAGTATTACAACATCAATATTGTAATTTATTTGTAACATTTGAACTTTTAATTTAGTGCAATATGTTGTCATTGCAACATTTTAGTATCATTTTCACTAACAACTGCAACTGGATTTATATTGTATACCTAAGTTCACTGTTATCCCACCGGTCACTATTGTGACCATCAAGATGTTTACTCATTTTATGACCACACTCAACAAAACTGAATATATGTGAATTCATATATTAATACTAGACACCTTAAAGATAATGAGTACCAAATTCTTTGTCATATCTTTATGTTAACACACTTTACTAGCCTTTCTGTTTTGGAGCTTTGATGCAGCCATCATCTTCTCAAAATGCAAAAAGGAAATAAACTGCTCTGGTCATGTGACAATTTGCACTAATCATGTGAAACTGCAAATATTTAATTGAGACCCTTTATTTTTTCCATTTTTGCAGGAAGTGCACTAAAACATCAGTCAGAAAGGTTTTTAGAGCTTTGTAAATGAAAACCTTTTATACGGTCACTATTGTGACCGGTGGGATTAAATGGGTTAAGAGGGGAAAAAAGAAGAATTGCAAGATGAAAACTCAGGATCCAGATAAAAGAAGTTATAATTGTGACATGTAAACTCAGAATTCGGAGAAGAAAATGTCAGAATTGTGAGATACCATCGGCACCGATAGCCTTGAGGGCAATTGTGATACAAAATGTCAAGTCCCAATTACCTTTTCAATATTTTAATACTGTGGAAAAATAAGCTTCCATTAAAATAGGAAACAGTTGTTTTAAATGTAAATAATATTTCAACATTTTCATCAAATAAATGCCTTGGTGAGCATGAGACTATCTCTCTATTGATTGATATGGTTAGATTTATCAAGCCAACACAATCTGACTGCCTCTGTGCTGCTATTCGGCTGGTGTTGTGTTTTGATCAGTTTTCATTTGACGAGGCCCTGCTGGGAGGATGGGTGAGACTGACTGTGACTGTTTGTCCAGAAATACAGTCTGCCAGCTGTCTCACCAACATGTGCTGGCAGCGCAGTGTGGTCTCTTCAGTTAGCAAACAAGCTTCTACTGACCCAACAGGAGAGGTGACTGTGAACGTGAAGTCAAGGTAAACGAACGGCAGTGCATGTTATGTGTTGCACGTGTGTGTGTGTGTGTGTGTGTGTGTGTGTGTGTGTGTAAAGGTAAAGGATGATTTGGTGTTGATACCAAACATGCCATCTGTCCATTCATCACCGCAGAGCTGCTTAGTTGACACAGAGCAAGTGATAAAAAGTTATATTTTAAATAACCTGACAGTGCTGATAAGAATGCAACAATATAAAGTCACTCCAAACACTACAGACCATCTAAAAGCCACACGCACATACACAAACAAAACAACATTTGCATAAATATAAATATAAATCTCAAAACACAATTTCACCCAAGACTAACTTTCCTCCATGAGCTGTCAAAGTGAATGACTCTTCTACCCTGCTGTGAACTACATTATTTCTATAAGATTTCAATAATGATACATGCTCTTTAATAACAATAAATTGCATCATACACTCTGCAAGTAAAATTAAATGTCTTTTGAGAATCGCATAATATTATTTGCAGTACTTTACGTTCACAGAAGAAAGTCGCACAGGTTTGGAACAACATAAACATGAGTATCTGATGACAGTTGAGGTGAATTATTCCTTTAAAGATCATAATCTGAATGTAAATGACTTAGCATGTGTTTACATTTGGCAGGTTTGTTTGGTCTGCTTCCAAATGAACGCTAGTGTGGTTCGACACAATGTAGACATCTAAACGTACCAAAAACACACAAAATGTTCAAGCATACTTGATTTAATTTGGTACAATTCGGTTCCAAACAATCGCTGCAGCTGTTGACTTCCATAGTATTTTTTCAATAATCAGTGGCTACTGCAACATACTTCAGAATATCTTCTTTTATGTTTAACAGAAGAAAGAAACTCATACAGGTTGAGGATGTGTAAATGATGACTGATGAAAATGAAACATTTTCATTATTGGGTGAACTTTAAAATACTACACTGGTATACCTCCATCCTTTCAGAACAATATGACTTTAAAAAGGCTCCCTTCATTATCTTACCTATAGCAACACCATAATGCATCTGAGCTGGTCTAATTGCATGGAGTTTGTTGACTGACGTCAGCACAATGGACTTAAATCAACCTATAATTAATCAACTGACCTTTGTCTTTGTTGAGGGCAAAGTTTAATGATTCATCAAGCCTATATCCACTGGGTGGCCCTGGCTGATGTCAAGTCTGAAAGCTCTAGACTGTCCTTGCCTGTTCTTTACTCAAAAAAGCAATTTGTAACTTAAGATGACTAGACTAATAATGACATCACTTTACTAAGTGTCAATAACATCTTACTTTTGAATCAATATACGATAATTGAAATATTGATGTGGTTCTCTAGGAGCATTTTAAATCAATAATATTTCTGCCTTTGACTCACATTGTATTTGGATCTTCTGCCAATAAAGCACATCCTGTAATCAAGGACACTCTGTGTGAGCATGCAAAATCAGATATTGCAAATCCAGGCCAATAGCTCAGAAAAAACAAATATAAGTAAAAGTCAGATTTCCTTTGTTGTCAACAGATGAATCATCAAAGTCTCAAGAGGTTTCTGTCCCAATGAACTCGACAAATCAGACTCAATTACATTTCAATAGAACAAACTGCTGATGCAAACAGGGAAGCACATATCCAGATCCATAATTCTGTGCATCACATCAGCAATTTCTCAGCTGAGAGCTCAGGACTAATCATGTATTAATAATGATCTTACAGCACAGCCATTGTGAAGCTATACATGATTCTGACATTATTTACTCACCCTCACATTGTTCCAGACTTGAATGAATGACTTTCTTCTGTGGAATGCAAAAAGGGTGTTTACATAAAAATGTGACCTTAGTCAATTTCTGACACAAATACAGTGTCAGAAATGACAGAATTATCCTCATTTTCATCCACATAAAAATCGATATTTTATCTAACCTGATTAAGATCTATTAATCAACGCAAAACATAAGTAAATGGAACAATGTTTTACCTTTACATTTACATTGTAAATTAGATTGAAGATAGCCTGTACCTGTTTCAAATATTGCAAGTGTTGGTGTCACATTTACTGCCAGGACTGAAATCTTTGATGCTAAGAGAGCTGTTTTGCAAAGTGAAAATTTATGTGAGAGGAGGAGGAATCAGATTGTTAATTTGTCATTTCATTTCCGCCTTTAATGGTTATGCACATACACACAAACACATACACACGGATACACACACAGAAATACTTGGGAACAGCAACTCCAAACTTCAATCACGGATACAAATTTATACCACTTCAGCGCAAGCCACCCATTTGCTGTGACTCAGGAAATGTCTTGTGTAATGTCACAGAACAGGTATTACATTTTCTCCAAAATGCTTAATGTTCCTTGAATGGAATTTTCTTCTGGTAAATCAGCTGAGGAAACAGGGAAATTACGTTTTGAAAAGTCACATGTGAAACCCTACTTTCTATTAATCTCTGAATAAATTCAGTTTTTATTATATCAGATATTCACCATCTCATTATATATATATATATATATATATACATAGCCTATATTTATTTGATGCAGATTAATATGTCTAATATGTCTTAATATTTTTCAGTTATAGATGGCGTTCTGTAAACGGGAATTCGTGCACTGGCAAGGGTCTTGATCCAAAAATCATTGGGTCACGTATGACTCAATTAAGGCCTACATGCAACGCAACTACCTGGTCACATATTACGTGTATTTATCAATGGCGTCGCTAATGCGTTAAAACGGTTATCATCCTAGTGTAGTAAGTTTGTCGTGCAACTTTGTCCCCTAAAGCACAAGTGTCAGCAGACTGAGCCTGGGGAAAATCTATTCCATTTCCTTTTTGCCCTATCTTGACACAGAGCTCTTTATTTACAAAGGGAATTGCTGTAAAGCACCAGTGTAATTGGAATTTGTGTTGACATTAAATGCAGGAAACAGAAAGTAACATCTTCTGAGAAAAATAGGAACAAGTGGCTCAGACCGATCCTCAGGGTGGATAACAAGATGTATACTTTTCCAGTCAGCCCTCATGTCATCTATAGAGGCAGTGAGGTGGCAACAGTGTTGAAGGTTTATAGGGTTATAGTGATGTGAATCGATACACAGAGTCAAACTTAATGACTAGCCTTCTTCATAGTGATGAATAGAGTGTCCACATGCAAATCAATGTGGATGAACAAGTGCACTCCTCATAAAAGATAAGCACACACACACGCATACATGCATGCACACCCTGCTCAAACACCATGGACATTTGTTGTCTTATCCTAGTGATGATGATTCATTACACTGGACACTGTTTGTTTGGCTCTGTAGCTTCTTTTTGTTTCTGTCCAATCAACAGCCAATGCAAATAGTCATGGGTCATGTGTGATGTCCTACATAGCCATAAAACTGACCAGTAGGGTTATATTTTGGTGCTTTAAAGGCCTTTTAACAAAAGTGATAATAAATTACACATCAGTGTAAAAAATTGTTTAGTTATTTCATCAGAAAAAGACAGCAAAAATGCGACTAGCTACTACAGAAAAATTAGGTGCGTGGTTAAAAGTAGGTACGTTTTAATTTGACACGCACTGTAAAAAAATGAAATAATAATTTATAGGGTAAAAACCACAATTTTTAAATTTGATTTTGAATTGTAAAAAAAAAAGTGTTATTGTTTTAAAAGTAATTGTTTATTATTAATAGTAGTAGTAGTAGTAGTAGTGGTGGTGATTTATTCGGTTTTTTTTTTTTATAATTACATTCCCAGACGTCACAGTGGATACTATTTTATATTTTATATTTATGGCCAGCATTTTTGGAAAGACAAACTTTAAGTCATCATGTGGCTGTATATTTTACTGTATTTTGGTAGTTATTACATTTTAAAAGTGCTAAGCAGATTTTTGTAGTTGAACTTTAATTGAAGTTAGTACATTAATGGTATGGCATTGCTAGATTACTTAATTTGACTGTATTTCTTAATGTTCATATTTGTATATGAAAATTAAAAGATACACTCAGACTGTTCATTTAATGTTCATAAGTATGAACATTAAAAGATAAAGTCAAATTAATTAGTCAAGTAATGCCTGAAGCATTTTCACAGCACCCATAGCAACTAATATTTTATTGTACTTTTTCTTTTCATGCCGTGTTAAGGAATTGAACAGTGTGTACCTGTTATGGACTAATCACTACAGATTTTTTAGT